TCTGCATTGAGCTGAATGTGGGTGTAAGGTTTCCCATCATTTTTTTTCTTTTTTCAAGATAGTAAATTTAAGATATCTAGAGAGCTTTTATTGGATTTGTTTTCTTATTCAGGTTACATTTTTTGTGAACATTCCATTTTCCAGCTAATCTTATGTGTTTTTATATAAGCATATACCTAAAAGATTTCACTTTATTGTCAACTTTTCAAAGGCTGGCAACCTGGAATCCAAGAAGTTGTAGCTGATTGGGATGAAGATTGGGACAAGTTTGAAGATGAAGGTATGTGCTTGTAGGGCATATCTTTTGATGTCCAACCTATTGTTTGGTGACCTTATTTAATAATATTTGGCATGCACTTGACATTATGTATAGATTTTTATATGGTACTTTCTTCTGATTAGTCTAATTTGTATTCTATTCTGATGAATCATGACTTGATTCTCCTTGTAGGATTCACATTTGTAAAGGAGCTCACACTTGATGTGCAAAATGTCATAGCCCCTCCAAAATCAAAATCTTCATTAGTTCAAAAAGAAACAGCTTCTGTAATCCCTGACAAAGACATAACAATTGACCAAAGTGAGGATGGCCTGGCAAAAAGTCCATCTGGAAAACCGGATGTTACAACAGATAAGCAATCTCAAGAATTCCAGGATTCCCATGGGACAAGTAGTGGTGCTGATGGTTCTCCCCACGCCAAGAAAACTGATGATACTGATAGCTCAGCTCTTGCTAAAGAATCTAGAAGGTGTGTTGTTTCGTTTGCAGTATTATGTAGTTCTCCAACTACTATTCCTCTTGCATTATTTTCTGCAAGCAATGAACCTGCAAATGGTTGTACAGTATGGATTTCTTTTTCCTTTTTCTTCCTTTAAGTCTTTGATGTTAAGGCTTAAGGTTTTGACCAATTGGTGATATACCCTTTACAGTGATCAGGGTGGTGCTGAATCTTTATTTTCTGAGGACAAGAGTTTTGATGAACCCATCCGGGGAAAAGTTGATTCTCAGTTTAAAGATCCAGTTTTTGGCTTTGACAATGAACATGGCAAGGTAAGTGGATTTTTAGTCTTGCAGACTCATTCAGATTAAATTGCAGGTTGTTTTCTTTCTGAAGCCAAATCAAGAGAATGAAACTGATATTTTCTATATTCAGATTGGTTTTCTTTAGTTATGAAAAAGAATTATGTTTCAGTTATAATGAAAATTTTTTGTTTGGTCTTTTGGCCAAGGCTGATTTGAGTAGTGCCTACAGTTTTCTAGTTTAATATCTCAGGACATTTTAGTGTCAAATTAGTTTATCAAAGACAACCTTATATTATTTTCTCTTTCTTTGAATGTCAAAGTTTCTCTTGTTTGTCTTGATTGCAATATATTTCTTAACCGATGCTTGTTTCTTGAAAAGATTTGTCAGAATTTTATTGAGACTCACAAATCGGTCTAAAGAAAACTTTTCTTGCAGGAGATGGATCCTGAGAGGCATGATGATAACTCTTTATTTGGTCTTGGTGGCTTCAATATAAAGCCCATAAAAACACAGACCTCGCAAACAGAAAACTTGTTCCCTGGGAAAGGTCCGATTGTTTTTGATTCTGTTCCGAGCACCCCTGCAAACCCTGGTGACATGATCCTGGGGAAGAGCTTATCTATTTTTGCAGACTCTGTTCCAAGCACCCCTGCTTATGCAGATAACATGTTCAAGGGGAAGAGTTCATCCTTGTTTGCAGATTCTGTTCCAAGCACCCCTGCCTATGTGGATAACGTGTTCAGGGGACAGAGTTCATCCTTGTTTGCAGACTCCGTTCCAAGCACTCCTGCCTATGCGGATAACATGTTCAAGGGGAAGAGTTCATCCTTGTTTGCAGACTCTGTTCCAAGCACTCCTGCCTATGCGGATAATATGTTCAAGGGTCAGAGTTCATCCTTGTTTGCAGATTCTGTTCCAAGCACTCCTGCCTATGTGGATAACATGTTCAAGGGGAAGAGCTCTTCTCCTTTTGCGGATTCTGTTCCAAGCACCCCATCTTACCATTATTCCCAACAGAGTTTTGGTGAAGGATCAGAAGCTTACTCATTTGACAGTTTCTCTAGGTCTGATTCATTCAACATGCAAGACAGTGGATTGTTTCAGTCCCGCACCTTCGACAGGTTTGATTCCATGCACAGCTCAACAGACTTTGATCAGGGTTATGGGTTTCCTCCATCGAGGTTCGACTCATTTAATGCACGTGATCAACCTGATAAATCACTGTCTAGATTTGATTCCATGGGAAGCAGTAAAGGGTTTGGTCATAATAGCGAGTTTGCGTCATTTGATGACAATGATCCATTTGGGTCAACAGGGCCATTTAGGACTTCACTGGAGAGTGAGACTCCGAGGAGAGATTCCGATAAATGGAGTGCTTTTTAGTTATAAATAAATGCGGCATCATACAATATAAATGCAATTAAATGGACGCGGGGGGTGTTTCGCGATATCATGCCTTGTAGGTCGAGATTTTGGTCTCTTGTGTGGTGGTTTTGATTATTTTGTTAGTATATATAGTAACTCGATAAAGGAGTGATTGTGCCAAAGTCTTTTTTGTTTCTATTCTCTTTTCTGCATCTTTATACAGTTCATTTTCTTTCGTTTGGTTGTTTTTAGTTTTTGTAGTTTTAGTGGCTTTTCTCCTGGTTTATGGACGGGTCTGGACTTGCGGAATGTTGTTTCCAAATAGTCGGTGATAATCATTGTATGCGATATGAAACGTAAAATTTGTATAAACTCATTTTTCATGCACTCATTGTTCTTGCTATGATTTTTGGATAATAATCCTTTATTTTTCTTTCATCATATATGTGCGTGTAGGATGCTTGTTTTCTGTCCTGATGGCATATAGTTGTGGATGATTTTGTTGGCAGTATTTTGATCTCATAACTTACAAATCTCTCATGTGGCTTACTCTCGGTGACAGAAATTCCCTGCAATTGCTGAGACACAGATTACAATCAATTAAGCTCCTCATTTTCTACTGAATTTTAAATTTTACTCCTTCAAAAAGAATAGAACACTATTTTTGGCAAAATCCACGAAATAGGCAATCAGAGACAATAAGAGTTTTAATTATCAATCGCTTACATTGAATTGGAAATCTTCACAGAAGGGGAGTATCAAAACCGGAAGCCAAATCAGGAGCTTCTCTGAAATCGGCATCGAACGAGGCTGACATTCATCCAAGGGCACGCATAATGAAGTGAGTATTTCGTCGAGCTCAGAAAGGTAAAAAGCACAAAGCTTGATGTACGACGCATGGTAGGAGGATGGCGAGTGGGTGGAATTTGGGAGCTTTGAAGCCTACCGAATGGTATGTAAGGCTGCTTGTCCTGATTTTCGGTCTTGTGTGAGATGGGAATATGCTCTTGATTTGGGACGAGTCTTCCGACTACAATTTTGATGTACAAAATTTCATGCGTCATGGTGTCAAGTGGAGTGGTCTTAGAGTTTCTCATGGTGATTAAGTTCTATAATACTTTAATAAAATATGTGATTCCGTCACATTTATCCTTTTGTAGAGCACCTTAATATGGATTTTTTGCTTCTTCTCGATGTATGATTATATACCTGCTACATTTATAGATATTTCACGAGACATAACATTTTCTCTTGTTCAATCTCATTATATCTTGTCATGGATCTGCTATACCACATTTGGTTATACTGACTATTCTATTTGTTGGAACGTTCAACATGAAATTAAATGTCCAATAAATTATTTTGATATAACTTATTATTATGAAATCATTATTTTTCTTAAAAAAAACAATTCTTACGATCACGCCTGCAACTCACGTGAAGAACTATTCTTACAACTTAGTTATTCAAATTTAGCTGCTTCTGTGTCTGTAACTCAATTCAGTTGAAGGTTTGAAGTTGTCTATAACTTTTCCGGCTCAGGAGCTGCGGAAAGGTTTCAATCTTATGCACTGATAGATCTACAATTGCAAAATACTTGCAACAATTTTAGGGGAAGTTCTACAATGCGGCACCTTAATATAAGATTAAAATAAGACGCTATCGATTTTATTATTATTTAAATAACAAAACCGTTAAAAATCACTTAAAATATTATTGTTTTTACCTAAAAACATTAATTTCTTTTAACATTTTCGGTAAAAGTGTCCAACAATAACAAAACCAGTATAAAAAAACCGGTAGCGTTTTACTAAATCCGGTAAAGCGCCCAATAATAACAAAATCGATAGAAATAATAATGTTTCCGGTCATTTTTACATGTTTTATTATTTAAATAATAACAAAAACCGATAACACTTTTTTTAGCCGTATATTATGACTGTCGCACCTGAGCATTTCCACAATTTTAGCCCTTTGGCTGGATTAAAACAACACTAGTTCTTTTTCTCCATTTGAATGTCCAATTGAACACAATTGCTTCGACAAACAGAACTTTGCAGCAAAATGATATGCAAAGTTCAATAATTCTATATATACAGAGGCGGAGCTCTATTGGGGTCAAATGGACCTCGAAACCTATAAAAAAAAATTATATATTCGATACATTTTAGTCTAATAGAATTTTATTTTTTTTTCATTAATATGAGATGAATATAATGCATAATATGTTTAAAGATAACTCTTAACCATTTGATATTGAACATTCACACTTCTGATATTTCTCCTACTCGAACCCGATACTTCAAAAAATAATAATTTTTATTTTACAACCAAGATCTTTTAATTCATGCTTAAACTTAAATATCTAATAAGATATTGTATTTTTTTCTTAAATTTAAATATTTCGACCGCGGTCAATACTTACTCATGGTTAAACTTTTAAATCTCCGGCATCGAGGTTACACCATTTCATTACTCACCGCCTTTTCTAATGCACAACTCATCGTGTTCTTTAGATGTGCAGACATTTAATCATCGAAGTATAAGGTGGCCAAAGTAGTAGGACTAGGAGTACATAATTATTAAACAATTCAGAAATGATGCAGTGAATTGAAATAATGTTTGAAATTTGCAGAAATCATCTAAACCAACATGTCAAGGATTTCACGCAGACAATACGTCGAACAGCTAAGATGCACCAAACCCAAAGAAGAGCAAGAACATTTCAGGTTTTTGGATTGAAAAGGAAATGAAGAATCTAATCCAAGTCCTTTACCACTTTAATCCCCATAGTATTAGCAGTGCAAATAATGGACTTAGAAATACTCTCCAGGGACATGTATTGACAATAGGGATCGGACTGCTTAATCTTGGCAATCTCGTAAATGTGTCTGACGGACAATGTGGTGGCGATAACGTGGCCTGGCCTGCTGCTTCCGGACTCGATACCCGCCGTCTTCTTCGGGTACCACGTGACGGAAGGAGACTTGACGGTGAACTCAAAGGTGTTGTCTTTGAAGGCGGTGATCGTGACTGCCATGGGGGTGTCGGGCTTGTACTTTTGGGTTCGGGCGTTGAAGTCCTTGCAGAAGGCCATTAGATTGAGCCGGTACTGTCCGAGGGCTGGGCCTACAAGCGGTGCGGGTCGTGCTCCTCCTGCAGGCACCGTCAGCCGGATGGTCGCCGCGTTAGGATCTCTTTCAGCGATGACATGCCTCTCTGATTTTGCTTACCCTACAACTGATTCCTTCAATTTCTCAGGTGAACTAACGTAGAGTATAAATTATAGCAGTAAATCGTAAACGGTTTTCGTTTAATTGTGGTTTTAGTCCCTTGTTATACTAAAGTTTAATATTTATTTTTTCGATTTTTTATTTTTCAAATCCATTTTAATATCTATAGTCCCTTATTATTCTAACTTTATTAATTAATATTAGTGTAAATTACATATATGTTCATCGAGATTTTAGGATACTTGCATTTTGGGTCACTCAACTTTTAAAACTTACAATACAATCATTAAATTTTTAGTTCGTTTTATGAAAGATCCTTGAAGTTAACTTTCATTATTTTTATTTGACGTAGCACGTTACCTCCCGTTAACCCTTTTTTTCTTGACGATACCACCAACAAAAATCATGAAATTCATACCTTGCAACCATGTCCATGATCCACTGCCTCAGCTGCTAGAAGCAAGAAGGTTGAGCTCTATGAATCAAATTTCTTCTTTTGTGAAACAGGGATCAGATAACCTTTCCCCATCCCCAATCAAGGGTGTTCTTGTCCATGATCTTTCAAAAAATTTCATATCAACCTAAGCTCGTGACCCCAAATGCAAATTGGAGCATGGTGTCTTTTCTGTCATTATGGGATCTTCGTTGGTTTTTTGTTTTACCCTGAGCAAGGACAAGTGTACTTGATGGGTTTGGTTCCACCGCAAGATAATCAATCATTTAATGGGGTCTTTAACGGTAGTGCAAGAGGAAATCTATATCAGTCTGTATCTGTCCAAATGGATAAGCCTTTATTACAACAGGTGCCAGTTAGCAGAAACTCCTTTTCAGGCTATCAGTTTGCTGAGCTTTTCAGACCAAGTTGGGTTGCAAGATAGAGTTTTCGTTTATAAGACAATGTAATCCGATTAAAAATGTATTTGTGTTTGTCAAGAAGAAGAAGGGTTAACATAAGATAACGTGTCACGTCAGACAAAACTAATGAGAGATAACTTCAGAATCTTACTGAAAACGAACTAAAAGTTCAGTGATAGTATTACAAATTTTAAAGTTAGTTGACTAAAATGCAAGCATTCTAAAAGTTTGATGACCATTTATGTAGTGTCCCTTAATATTATTCTCAATTTGGACATATTAGGACCCAACTCCCAGTATGGATTAAAACTAAATTTGACCTTTTTATTTTACTTGGATTTCCAGAATACTTTGGGTAAACTATGCATTTAGTCACTGAATTTTTATTATAATCAATTTTGATCATCTAACTTAAAAATTTTCAATTTTATCATCCAATTTTCAAATTTCATTTTTTGGTCACTCATATTTAGCCCTTTAACGCCATATGTTTTTTTTTTCTGAAAATTTATTCAAAACCTTCATGAAGCGTTTTCTCAAATTCGATTTTACAGATTCTCTTTTTAATTTATGGACATCAGAGTACTTTTTAAAAAAAATTGAACACTCAAAGATGAAGAAAGATGTTGAATAGCAACACGTTCAGCAGGAAGACCAAGGGCGGCAGAATTAAGGTTGCTACACCGCTCCTCTTCCTTTTTCAATTCATTCATATATATTATATATAAAATGAGAAGGAATTGAAAAATGCATTTAGTTTAGTTTATAAATGATGATTGTTGGGGTGGGTCAGGAAGTTAGAGAAATATATCTTAGAGACACATTTACTGTGGAGCTGCTGTTTGCAAAACATGCGACACTTCCACTTCACGTGCTCCTTTGGATTCTGCTTCTCCCATTCTCGTTTTCGATACCAATGTCCTTCTTCAACAGGTTTCTTTCTTTCCCTTTTGGCTTCAATGTAATTATGCTGATTATTTCATTGTGTTCCCAAATTTTAACATTTCATTTTCATCATTACTGTTGTTATTGATTGATGTCGGAAGATTGACTTGCTCGAGAACCCTGCCATCAACAACGTTGTACTGCTAGTGTTATTATTGGGATTTTCGGAAGCTCGAATCGACAACCGAATCGGTTTGCAAAGAGGGATCAAGATGGTTTTTGTGTTTAGGGAGTAAGGAGATTGAAAGATAAAGAATTGCACAGCGATTTATAGTGGTTTGACTTTCTCAACCAAAGTCTATGTTCACTACCTTAGCTCCTCACCAAGGATTTTCCAACAAATTCACTAATTTGTTCTTTCTTTTGAGGACAAAGAGATAACCTTACAACTCCCTAGTTTTTTCGGGCTAAACTAAAACATTTACATAGCTTTTACAAGGGATAAGCTAGAACATTTCCCCTTTACAAAAGTATAAAAGATGTAAACAAGAAAATCTCTCTAAGGTATGTGTTTACAAGATTGAGCTCACAAGAACAAAATATTTACAAGAGAAAGATGAAATAAGAATGAAAAAATCTTCTCTTGTGTTTGATTGCTTAGATAGTTGTTCTCTTCTTTCTTCAAGTGTCCTTAGCTTGTATTTATAGCTTGGAATGTGTTTGAAGTCGTATATAGCCGTTGAGGATGTTTTGGAGTCGTTTGGGAATGATTTTTCTACTCAAACAGGCTGCCCATAATAGGGGGTATCGGTACCCCATCATAGGATATCGATACTCCTTCAATAAATTCAAATTAACTAGCTGTTGCAGCCAAGGGGTATGGGTACCCCTTTTCATTAAAAAATTAGTTTTTTCAAACCAAACTTCTCCCCCTTTTTGTTATATAAAAAATAATTCAATCTTTGAAGTTCAAAATAACTTTGGAGAGTAAATAGTAAATTTGACATTTAAAAATCATTTGAAAAATCAAAGCTCTCCCTTAATAGATACATTCTAAACAAAATTTAGCTTTTAAGAATTTAACACTTAAACAAAATTGAATTTCAACAAAGAATAACAAACATGTTAGTAGCACATGAAATTCAATGTATCAAAGTCTAAAATAATTTATGCAATATCAATTGTTAAATTTAAATCATATGCATAAAGTTTTCCAAAAATGTTATGCATTTGAAAAATTTTGATATCAATGTTAAAGAGATATCATTTTCATTTAAACCACATGCATAAACATTCAAATTTAGGTCAAAAATTTTGTAAAATCAAAGTATTTAAAAAGTTGATATCAATTGTTAGAGAGATATCATTTGCATTTAAAATCAATTTTGACCAAAATTTTATTATGATGAACTAAAAATTTTGAAAAATCATTAAAACTTTAAAATGTTCATCATAAAACATTTTAACATACATGAGATTAAAACAATAATGTATAATCATTTAAAAAAAACTCATGCATGATTAAAATCAAATGAGCAACCAAATAACTAAAATTAAAAACATTAAGCTTAGAGGTTACCCATTTATTTTCATGTGTGGCTAGAGCATCTTGAATATCATCACTTTCATCACCATTGCTTCCACACACCTACAAGAGACATTTAAGTAGATTTTGGTATCCAAATTGCTTTGGATCTTTGAACGTTAGTTTCAATGCCCCTTGTTCCTTTCGGAACCCATACTTGCCTAATTTTAAAATGTTTTCCTTTCTTCAAAGGACAAGTATGTTCCATATGACCATGATAATGACAATGTGAGAATTTTTCCATTATGAAACTAAATGAATTATTTAAAATGATTTCTTTTTCTTTTGTTAAGCATTAAAGCTTAACTTTTAAATCAAAATTTTCTTTTTCAAAACTTTCAATTTTTATTTTTGAAAGTTCTAAATCTTTTTTCAAAATTTCATTTTGGCTTTCAAAATCTGTTTTTGTTTTCAAAAGAAAATCGTTTTCAAGTTTAAATTTTGAAATCATTTTTCTATATTTGCAGTTTATGATCTCAAACTCCAAAAATAATTCATTGTAGGCAGCTTGTAACTCATCAAAAGAATATGAATTTAATTCATTTGAGTTAGAAGATACCTTAGGCTCTTCACGAGTCAATAGAGACACCACCTTTGTTGGTTCTTCTTTCTTGTTTCAATGGATTTCCTCGAGCTTATTCCAAAGCTCATTGGCACTTAAATATGAAAAAACTCCTTCATAGATTTTAGGACCAAATGCACAAAACACCATGTGCATAGCCTTGGCATTAAGTTGAGCTTTCTTCCGTTCTTTGTCACTCCACTTCTTATCCTTCTTCTTTGGAGAAGAGTAGTTGTTCTCGATTATCTCCTATGTATCAAGATCATTGGATTGGATGAATACCTTTATTAATTCTTCCAATGACGATATTTGAGTTCATTGAAGTATGGAGGCTTGTCGTTTGGTAGGGAGTCTTCCATGTGAAACGAGTCGGAAGTGGAAGTCATCTTCTCGGTTGTGTTGGAAATTGGTAGAGCTTCTTCGAGGATTGTCTCAAGGATGTTAAGCCTTCTAATGAGTTAGTCTCTGATGCCAATTGTTGGGATTTTCGGAAGCTCGAATCGACAACCGAATCGGTTTGCAAAGAGGGGTCGGGATGGTTTTTGTGTTTAGGGAGTAAGGAGATTGAAAGATAAAGAATTGCACAACTATTTATAGTGGTTCGACTTTCTCAACCAAAGTCTACGTCCACTACCTTAGCTCCTCACCAAGGATTTTCCAACAAATTCACTAATTTGTTCTTTCTTTTGAAGACAAAGAGATAACCTTACAACTCAGTTTTTCCGGGCTAAACTAGAACTTTTCTCTAGCTTTTACAAGAGATAAGCTAGAACCTTTCCCCTTTACAAAAGGATAAAAGATGTAAACAATAAAACCTCTCTAATGTATGTGTTTATAAGATTGAGCTCACAAGAACAAAATATTTACAAGAAAAAGATGAAATAAGAATGAAAAACTCTTCTCTTATGTTTAATTGCTTGGATAGTTGTTCTCTTCTTTCTTCAAGTGTCCTTAGCTTGTATTTATAGCTTGGAATGTGTTTAAAGTCATATATAGCCGTTGGGGATGTTTTGAAGCCGTTTGGGAATGATTTTTCTACTCAAAAAGGCTGCCCATAATAGGGGGTATCGGTACTCCTTCAATAAATTCAAATTAACTAGTTGTTACTAGTCGTTGTAGCCAGGGGTATGGGTATCCCTGGGGTATCGGTACCCTCTTTGTATTGTGGAATTTTTGCTCAAATCCGATTTTAATGGACTTTGAATTATTTTTGAAACATTTTGAAAACTTTGAATAAATTCAATTCAAATTAAAAACATTTTGCCTTTAAATTTGTTATATCAAAATATATTTCAACAGCTATCCGTGGTGCTGGATGAGGTTAAGAAGAAAACATGGCCGTTTACAATAGAATTAGAGCTCTCTCCACCAATCCTCTCCGCAAGTTCTATGTTTTCAGTAATCAGTTCCATAGGTTGGTTTTCTCATTCCTCGAATTCTCTTCTTTTCACTCACTGCCCCGCTAATAAAACACTTTTATTTTCTACCTCTTACGTCCACTATTTATTTTTGTTACCAGAGACACATTTGTAAAGCGCATGGATGGTGAAACTCCAAATGATTACAATAACAGAGGTTAGATTAGCTCTTTAATCTTCCCCCAATCATTTGCTTCTGAAATTTAATTTGTTTACTATGACGTTTCATGCTTCAGCAATTTGGGTGGCTACTCGGTAGTATCAAACTCATCTTGGTACTGCAACAACAGTTTTCCTTATAACCAATGACAGAAAATAAGAGGAGGGCCACCGAAGAGGGCATTTCTGCTGAAACAAGTATGCACACTTTACTTTCTCCGAATCTTATATCAAATCGACATTTTATATATGGACTTACTATATTTTATATATTGAGTTCTAATGGTTTATATCTCTTTTTCAAATTATTGGAATTATTCATGCCTGCAGCTAAATGTTCAATTATCAATTTGTTTCAGTTCAGTCATATGTAAAATCATTGGATCAACCAGAGTTACTTGATCTGCTTGTTCATCCTGCACCTGAATCCGAAGATATTGTCATGGATGAAGTTGAAGATTTGAGACCTTCCAAGAGACAAGTTGTTTATCAAGAGGTAAGTTTGCCAGTTCTGTTTGCTATTATTAATTGTAAACAACGAATTTGGTTAAGTTTTGTTTCCATGAAACAAATTGGTTCTCAAATTTGAAGCATGAGACAAATTACTATTATTAAGAGGTAAGTCTTATTCTTTTCTTTTCTTTGTTCAGCATAAACCCATGTCTGGGATTACTTTGGGTTTGCATCGTGGAATATACCATCAAGGAAAGCTTCGGATTAATCGGTACAATCCATTTGAAGCATATGTTGGAAGTGAGAGCATAGGTGATGAAATAATTATACATGCACGTCAAAACATGAATAGAGCTTTTGATGGTGATATAGTAACTGTAGAACTTCTGCCCCAAGATCAGTGGGATGAGGAGAATAACTTATCCATTGCAGATGAAGGTATTAAGGTTTTTGTGTTTTCTAGGTTCGGTGGAAAATGTTAATGTTTGTTTTTTAAATATTTATAGGTGATTATGAGCATGCTTCCAGTACACATTAATGTTATAGAAGTTGCTTATATGTCTTTGCACTTAGCATGATGCTTGGTATCTTAATTGGTTCTGTTGTAAAACAATATTTTCATCATGGTCTCTCTTGCATAAGGGCACAGAACACTAAACATACTGCCTATCACTTTCACATCATGTGTCTAGTTTCTTATTGTTTTCTCTCTTCCCTTGCAGAGGATGAGGAAGAAGATGTTCATTTAGCTCCAAGCAGTGCTGATGATGCCCCTAGAACTACGAATCTGGTATCAGGTTTAGCCAGTGACATGAACTCCACTCCGTAGCGTCCATCAGACCGTGTTTTTGGTATTATAAAGCAGAACTGGCATTCGTAAGTTATTTTCCTATTACCGTAGTATGATTTATTTATATCTGTTCTTTTTCTGGTGTACCTTATATAACTGCCTCAGTGAGGCAAGGCCAAGTTATGAATTAAATTAGCTTCACTGTTACTTGTTTTCTGTCTCCTAGTTCAGCCTGTTAGAGTTTTATTTCAGTTTTTTCAAGTTTTATCGTTAGCGAAGCTCTTTCAAATAATTGAATGAGAGATATTCTTCATATATCTTATGTGGTCAGCACTAAAACTGTCATCTTAGTGGATTCAGCGTGTTCACTGTTATTAGAATCAAATATGTTCAAAAGCCTTTTTCCTTATATTTTCCCTGCTTAATGATGTTGACTATTTCTTGCTATTTTGCTTATAGTCTAAATGATTTTTCAGTTATTGTGGGTCTTTGGAGCCGATGCCTCTTCCTGCTGGTACAGGAAGCCTTATATCTGCCCTGTTTGTCTCCAAAGATCATAGAGTTCCTAAGATTCGGATTCAAACCCGACAACTTGAGAATCTTTTGGATAAGAGGATAATAGTGGCAGTTGATTCTTGGGACCGTCAATCTCGGTATCCTTCTGGTCACTATGTACGAGTCATAGGAGAAATAGGTGATAGGGACAGTGAGAATGAGGTATGTGATAATAACTTCTTCCTCTCTCAATCTCTTTTCATTTATGTAACAGTAATTACTGAAGTTAGTAATACTTGTGTATTGTGTTGCAGGTGGTCTTAATTGAGAATGATATAAACTCAAGGCCCTTTTCTTCCCAAGTTTTAGCTTGCTTGCCACCATTACCATAGTCTGTGTCTAGTGAAGATGTGACAAATTCAATCCGGCTGGATTTGCGATCATTTCGTGTCTTTAGTGTAGATCCCCCTGGTTTGTATTCTTAATGGACTGTCGTGAATTATGTATTTTTCCAATGATGTACACGTAGACATGCCTTTTGCTTTTGCAGGCTGCAAGGACATTGATGATGCACTACACTGTACAGCTCTTCCGAATGGAGACTACGAAGTTGGAGTCCGTATCCCATATAATTTGGCTATATTCTTTTATGAAATCAGACTTCCATTTTATGTGAAGGGGTGAATGGGTTGGCACAAATATGCATCTTTTACAACTTACCTTTTATAAAGCTTTAGGATTTGTGGGAAGGTTTTTTTTTATTCAATTATGGCAAATAAAATTTTGTGTACAAAAGAAAATAATTTTCTCTGAAATCTTTTAATGATGCGTAATATTGTTTTTCATCCTTTTTTTCTTTATTATCTGCTAAACAAGTTATCCTTTCCCTTATGAAGGGAACCCGAAATATGACTCCCCCAGGGGGTGTACCCAGTTTCTGATCAATCTTAATGAAAGACTGTATTTTGAAAATTGGACAGATTTGCAACAATTACATGTTCCTTCGAAAAGGGCCTTTATGTGTTCAGACTTTCTCGATGTGGTTGGATGTTCCTTAATAATATCTAATCAGACATTGCTTATGTAACAAATTTTGTTCACCCTGGCACCCCACTGGATGATGAAGCTTCCCAGAGGGGCACATCTGTCTACCTTGTTGAGCGACGGATTGACATGCTTCCTAAACCTTTTACAGGTCATTTTTGTATTTCTTATACCCCTTTCAAATTTGTTATAGAGTTGCTTATGATAATAAAAAGGTTTTATTGGATTCTATACTTCATACTTGATTTTTCAATTGTTTTTCTTACATCAAAGTACGAATGATCAATATTTATATGTTCACTTAGAGTTGATGTAGAAAGGCTAGCTTTCTCGGTTATTTGGGTATGCGCTACTAAATTATTCAAATAATTTTATGGCTATGTTTATGCATTCTTTTCAATAAATAAAAACTTCTATTCACATCAATTCCAGGACATGTCGCCTGATGCAGAGATTATCTCAACTAGATTCACGAAAAGTGTTATCAAATCATGTGCTGCATTGTCTTATGTTGAAGCGCAGGCTAGGATGGATGATAGGTGCTCTAATCTAGCTTTTCGACTAGTTTTCATGATAAGCGTTTATTTTCTTCTTGTTTAGTTATTGTGATAACTTGTCTTTTCCATAATACAGCATGGGTTCTCTCTTAAGGTAAATTTCTTTAGCAGTTTCTGGCCCACTAGATTATTTGTCATGTTGCTTCAACAATTCAACTTACATCTGTAATCATTTGTTGACTTTCCATGGCCTACAAAGTAACAACCTAGTGAGACTTGCTAATTTTAGTAAATTGTTAGTGGGTATGGCACTGGTAAGGTTTTGCAGCAGATTCGATAACAGAATTTGTGGTTGTTTCTTGTTGTAAGTGAATGCAACAACATACTTTATGTTAGTATAGACCGATCGAGAAAGTCCACAGCACGATTGTCGTTTTCTTTGGACGCATTGGAAGACACTATTTGAACTAGAAAAAGCAGATTCTGATTCAATATTTGGGTGACCCCGTTGGGACTCATGGAGGAATAGTAGCTGGTGAGAGTTAGGGGCTGTTTGTTTACTGTTGAATGCTGAACTGTTCAGCATTCAGTGTGTTTGATTCTCACCTCTGAATGAAGACTGTGTTGAATGATTCAGCAAAATACTGTTGAATGATTCAACATTAAAGTACATTCTGAATGATTCAACATTAAAGTACATTCTGAATGATTCAGAACTATTATCAAACAGTATGTCACATTCAGATCTAATTCATACAGAGCCTTTGAATCATTCAGACCATTGAATCATTCAGCGCTTAATCATTCTGATTTAATCAAACTGCCCCTTACATTTTGTTATCTTTCTTCCTCTTTTCTGAACATTGAAAGATCTTCAATGGATCTAGTTGCCTCAGTAATGTAAACATTTCTGATTCCACAGGGAAAACTAGTCGTGCTATAACTCAAATTTCTTGACTGACTAAACAATCGTTGTGAGTAAAAGGTCTGAAGCAGGAAACCTAACCTATGGAGTGAAAAAAGGATCATTCACTTTATGATGTTAAGTTTGGATCTTGCAATCTGTTAGTTTACTAATTTTGAGGGAGCTGCTATTTTGCTTGAAATAGGGAGCATGCTGGTTTCTAGGGTTTTGGTTATGTTAAAGGTTGATAGTTGTCTAGGTTTCTCCAATGTTACTTGCTATTATTCTTTTGTGGTTGTTTTGGTGAATGTATGATCTATTATACACATGGTTTAATTTATTCCCATACACTGTCAGTTACTCCAAGCAAAAGAACGCTTGCCATTTCCTTTCTTGCTCATTGGTAAAAGAAATGTGAATACAATATGTGAAAAAATCATTTTAGCAAATTCATTTCTTTCTTTCTATTTCTTACTTTCATTTATATTCTGTTGTGTATATCTGGTTTCTTAGAACCTAGTAGAATAAAATCTTGAGGTTTATCTGGCGACTGAGCATTCTGATTCCTTTTGTACTTTTACAGTCCATTGATGGACCATTAACTACAGATTTGAGAAATCTGAATACTTTGGCTAAGTTCTGTTATTAATGAGCCTGTTTATACACAATCATACTACAGCGGGTTTAATTTGCCTTCAATTTTGTTTCCTCCATATTTATTGTCACGTGTGAAATGAAACTGCTGTTGCGGAATACTGCTATCAGATAGAGCAAAATCACAACTGATAATTTGAGAAAATAAAAAATGAAGATAAATAATACACAAATTTTACGTGGAAAAACCCCAAATAATATAGGGTAAAAACCACGGGCAACGGCAGAAGAATTTTACTATGAAAAAATAGGAATTACAATTTCTCTCGATCTAACAAGGAGAAAACAATAACAATTCTCTCTTGATAAAAAGGATAAAACAACTATCAAGAAAACTCTCTAAATTCTCTAGTATTGGGAGAAAACTAGATGATTTGGGATGGTTTTGAAGCTAAATGAGTTAGGGTATTTATAGTTGAAGCTTAAGGACTAATTTTATAAATACCCTAAAGTGCAGGGACTAAATTTGTAATTTTTCCATACCAAAAAATCAACAAAAGCTACTGCAACTTTCGGTGCTGACTTTTAACAATCTCTCAGTTGAAGATTTGATTGGAACAATCATATCTTCACACCATTCTTTCTACCTTATACCATCATGTTGCTTACGTCTCTGATAGGCCACAAGAGGATCGATACCAAGTAAATTTATCAGTATTGATCGCCTTCGTCATGAAATCTGCTATGTTGTCTTTGGTATGGATTTTCTGCATATCTACCGTCCCTACTTCTACCTTTTCACGAATGAAATGATACTGAACTCGTATGTGCTTTGTCCTTGAATGAAATGATGGATTCCTTGCTAGATGCAAGGCGCTTTGACTGTCACAAAACATAGAGACGTACTCTTGATTGTGCCCAAGCTTCTCCAATAGCATATTCAACCAAATTGTTTCTTTACTGGCTTGTGTAGCTGCTACATATTCTACCTCTGCTGTAGATGTAACCATAACTTACTGTAATTTTGAAACACAGCTTACAACTCTACCAGGAATTTTGAACACATATCATGTAGTAGATTTGCTTTTATTCAAATCCTCTGTATAGTTAGAATCAACATACCCATTGATAAGTAAATTTGATCATCCGTAACATAATGCAACATTTGAGGTCCCTTTGATGTATCTCAAGATCCTCTTTACTATATTACAATGCTCTTTGCCTGGATTCGTCATGTATCGACTAACCACTCCCACTGCTTGTGCAATGTTTGGTCTTGTGCATATCATAGCGAATATTAAACTTATCACTGTTGATGCATACGGCACTCGAGACATCTCAATCCTCTCTTTTTCACTGCTAGGACTCATACTGGAGGATAATTTGAAGTTAATAGGAAGATGGGTAGAAATTGGCTTACAATTTTGCATGTTGAATCGTGACAAGATCTTCTTCAAATAATTCTTTTGTGAAAGTCAAATTTTCCTATTACTTCTATCTCGATGAATTTGCATCCCTAGAATCTTGTTTGCTGATCCCAAGTCCTTCATTTCAAATTCCCTAGCCAGTTGTGCCTTCAAATCTTCAATATGATCTTTGTTGGGTCCTGCAACCAATATGTCATCCACATACAATAGCAATATAACAAAATCGTTATCACCAAACCTCTTGAAATAAGCACAAGGGTCTGCATTAAGTCTGTTGTATCCAAGGCACATAATGAAGGAATCAAATCTCTTATACCAACACATTGGCGCCTGCTTTAGACCGTACAGAGATTTGTTCAACCTGCAAACCAAGTTCTTCTTCTTTTTTCTTCAAAACCTTCAGGCTGGAGCATGTAAATCTCTTCATCAAGATTTCCATGAAGAAAAGTTGTTTTAACATCTAGCTGCTCTAGATGTAAGTTCAATGTGGCACACATTGCCAAGACTACTCGAATTGTTGTTAGTCGAACCACATGAGAAAAGATTTCATTGAAATCAATACCTTCTTTTTGAGCATATCCTTTGACCACCAGTCTTGCACGATACCTCTCCACTGAAGACCCATTTGTTACCAATTGGCTTCCTTCCTTGTGGTAGTGACACAAAGTCTCATGTATTATTTTTATGAAGGGCTTCAATTTCTTCTTGCATCGTCATTATCTACAGTGAAGCATCTGAGTTGTTTATTGCCTCCTGAAATATTGATGGCTCATCGTCCTCTGTTAAAAGGCAATATGCAATATTTCCTTCTATAAAATAATCTGAGTGCTAATTGGGACGTCTTCTCACACGATCTGAATGACGAGTTGTTGGAGCTTCAGAACTCTCTGGTTCTTGTTCATCATGTGTTGGTTCTGCTTCAGAAG